TTTTTTTTTTAAGTTACAAGTGAGTAGGCGTGTATTGTTCTTCGTAATGTCTGGCATTACATTTAATTATTATTTCTTTTTTAGATTTTTTTTTAATGTCACTTCTCTCTCTCTCTCTCTCTCTCTTTCGTCGTAAATCAGAAATATAAATACTTCCTCGTTTTATGTTAGCAACAACTTTTTCTTTAATTCCTGACACATTAATGTTAACGATAAAACATCTTAGCCAATGAGTTATCAATAATTTTTTATTATATTTAAATTCATTTACATTTTATAAATTAACACTTTTATCATCTCGTCTTTGAATAAATTATTTTTTTTTTTTTTTTAAATGCGAAAGTTAAAAGTTGATTAAAAATAAAAATAAAATATACACGTGGAGGTTTAGTTACGAGTTTATTAATCGTCATATATTCGCACAAACCGGAGATTTTATTTTCTATCGATGACTTTTTTTTTTTTTCAATTTACAATCACTTCCCGTAGAACTTTCCTACCTTACACTTCCCAGTTCATATTTCTTATATATATATATATATATATGTGTACTTCATTATCCCACTGCATTCACAACTGTGCAAGTTGCTTTCTCATTTAACATTCCAGTTACACTATAGTATAATTTCTCTACTCTCTATAATAAATAAATAATTATGAATAATTTGATACGATAAAGTTCACTTTCGCGTCATTTTTGTCAACCATTTGTTTTGTTTATTTTCATTATTTCGTTATCATCATTAAAACTTAGACATTTCTATAAATCATTCATCATCTTCCGTTTTGTTTTTTATTTCATAAATTTTAATTATCCTATCGTAAAGTAATTAACTTTCTTGTTTGTTTGTTTGTTTGTTTGTTTGTTTGTTCGTGTGTATGAATCCTTTGATGATAATTACATTGGTTTTTTTTTTATCATTTCATTTCATCAATAATAAAAAAAAAAAAAAGAACTCGCGTCAGAACTACCACTTTACTTTTAACATGTCTGATCTGCAAAGGATATTTCTAAGAATTACGTTTGTTTTTTCTCTCTTTCTTTTCGTGGCGAATGTCAAACCGAGGACGTAATGACGGTAGTAAATGTAGATATGAGAAAGAAAACAAAAAATACTAATAATAAAAGAAGGACGTAAAAGAAAACTTGTAATGAAATGTTACGGAACTGTTTATGATTTGTGTTGTTTTTAGACGCTCGAACGATTGCATATAAAAAAAAAAAAAAAAGCCAGAGTTTATAATTAAACTTAAATTTCAAAGATTCTATATATGATAAATGAAAAAAAAAAAAAAAAAGAAAAACTAAACATAATTGTAACTAAATAATCTTTAAACAAAATATACAAAGTTTTATTATAACAAATATGTAGCAATGTTATTTTCTATTTAAATGTTACCACCAAATCTTTCTCATTTAACATAAACAGTTTGAAATAGGTTTTTACCAAGTATTGCAATACTTACTTAAGAAGGATTATAATTCATTAACATATGACCAAACGATTTCTTTAACAGAATAAAAGACTTCTCCATTCTCTTCTGCGTTATTTTTGTTTTCTTTCAAGTAAACGCAACTCGACCGGTTACTCCTCAAACATTTTTTTAAAGATCACTTTCACTGTCCCTCGGTCTTTCCAGTCAGCATCCGTTTAGTGTAACCAAACCCAGTGCTCTTAGATTTGTGAACATTACGCACATATTCTGACGAACTCGACCCTGCTTCGAAACGAAATGTCCTCGTCACCTATTACATGACGTTAGTCTTGGTTAAGTAATTTTACAGGCTACTCCTTACATGAGTTAATAACCACTCGAAATTTTACTAGTCCTTATTATTATATAATATACAAATTACTTTTTAGTTAAACAATAAGAATTAATACAAGATTTTGACAGGTTATGTTTAATTACGAGTCGAGTTTTTAAAACAAAATTTACTTTTGCTTTTAGTGTTTCGTAAAACGAGTGAATAATGGTGGGTAATACCCTATGACTTATGTGGTAATTTTTCCATAAATTTATGTCGTAATTCAGTTGTTCTTTTTTTTATTTAATTTCAAAATGTTCTTTTGCATTTAATTATTTCAAAAAGGAATCTATCGTTAGATAGATCTTATTATTATTTTTTTTTCTCTATTTTAAACTTAATTGAATCATAAGAAATCAATTAAAATACGTTTTCATCATTTTTCGTTAATTTTTCGTGTTAAACGTAAAAAGAATATATAAAATCGTGTTAGTGAAAGTTTACGATAGTAACGCAACTTTTGTGAACACGCGTAAA